CTGAAAAATGCAGTATTTGAAAGTGGCGCCCGAATTGCAGCATGGCGCCAGTTGTCCAAAATCCTACGGTACCAAAGGAGGGGTTTGGAAAAAGGGTGCCAGGCCGAAAACGGGATGCAGCCAAAACAGCAAAAGATAGACCAGGGATCGAGCCCTGGCGAAGTCCGTAACACCTTCTATGTATCAGATCCATCAGCTGAAATTTTTCACACGGCAAGTAAAGAGGGCCTCCTCACTTCATCCGTTCTATCTGACAATCGATGGCTGAAGTTTTTCCCGCAGCAAGTGAAGAGGACCAGAAGTACCAGCCGAACCTGGCCATGATTTCGGCCACATTCAGGCCTGCCCTGGCCCCTCGTGCATGGGCCACGGCTGCGATGTCTCAGCCATGCCCGACAAGGCAGGTTTCCGAAACCTATGCGACTAGAATGCATTTAAAACTCGGCCTGCAACTAGACTGCAAAAAATGTCAAAACCCTAGGCTACCAGGCGGGCCGCCCGGGTCACCTTGTTTGCCCGGGCAGCCCGCGGCCGTGCAAGGGCCAAGGAAAGTCCCAAAAAAAAAAAAAAAAAAAACAAAAAAAAACAAAAAAAAAAACAAACAAACAAACAAACAAACAAACAAACTATGTTATGTAGAAAAATAAAGTGGACAACTTTTGCCTCACAGGGTCACATCGAAACTCTTTACCAAATTTAAAACAAAAAATGAAGTTAAACTTTAAAGTTTAAACCTTTTCTTTTTTTTTTTTTTTTTTTTTTTTGGCTCGGCTGGGAAAGTGGTCCCGGGCCACTCTGCTACCCTAGTGCAATCAGACTCGCTTTCTTTCCCACTCTGTACTCATGCAAACAGATGGTGAGACACACTGGCGCACAGCGTCCACTCAAAGCTTCGGGATATGGAAGTCGTCAACACAGTTCAGATACCAGCTAGCTTTTAACAAGTTATGGCGCATCAGCGCCTGTACACACCAACTCTCGTCTCCCCCTTCAACACCACTGTTCTCTTTCACTCAACTCCGGACCACCCTGGATATCCCACACACATACACGCACTCTCGTACTCTTACACTTGCCTATCAGCTATGGCGGCTATGGCCGCTGTCCCTCTCCTAGCTATGTCTAACTATCTCCTTCAGCCCACTTCGTCTTCGGGCACTCTGCAGACCACCTCGCACAAGTCGCTCAAGCAGCGCTTCCGCATGGCTTACGCAGAAATGAATGAATGGATGGGCGCTGCCTCTTGATTTATACTTCTGTAACTCGTTGGTCTGCCCCTTTCCCATGCCCTTGGTGCACACAGTCCCATACGGTACTTGCTTGACTGGACTAGGACTGACTGGGACCGGTACCGCTAACTCAGCAAGGGTGGACTTCACCACTTGCCCACTTGCCTCCAGTCTATTGTGAGCAACGTTGGAAGGGCCACTTCCGGACCTTCGGGAAGTCTGTGGACTTGGCCCTTCGACACTGTAGCAGCTACGACCTTGACCTTTCAGGACTGTAGCAGCCATGAACTTGACCTTTCAGAGGAGCTACAGCTACGACTTCTAGAACTCGCTAAAACCTCTATCCGACAGGTCTACAGATCGAACCCCTACAACCTACGGACCTACGACAGCCTACCAACTGTTGCGAACACACAGGTCACGGGTTCAACTCTCTGGGTCGACACAGGTACTGTACACAGGTAAGGTAAGGACTAGGGATCGAGCCCTGGGATCTGCATTCGCTACCGCTAACAGGTGAATACCGTTTCACTAGCCAAAAACCTAATTGAAAATCGAAATTTGGTTTTTGACGCGGTCATAGTTACCTCCGTTCTAATTTTCTGGCTGGTCCCGCAAAAGCCATTTTGGTCCAGTGGCACTGTTCCACATCCGAAATCTTTGAATCGAGTCTATATTTCAATTCTCAAGTTGCCTGGGGAGGGAGGGTACTGGCAGTTTGAAGCATCTGACACACAGCTTGCTGCTTTCTTCACAGAAAGGTTTCTGACCCGACACACGAAAATTCAAAGCCAACAACTAAATCATGCTCTGCCCCGTTACCATCCTACCTTCTTCCCCCGAATACAACGTACAGTCATTATAGCTGTATTTGAGGCATCTTCCTGTCTAGATACAGCCATAATGACCGTACGTTGTAGTCGAGAGAAGAAGGTAGTCATCGCCACAAACGGGTATATTGCACAAGACCATCGAAAAGCAATCTGACCGAGGATGGAAAAACCAAAAAAAGACAAGAAAGAAAGAAAGAAACAGGAAATTGACAATCTAGTCTAGATTCAGACCAGCAAGTGACCCCACAAGATGGATAAAGTCAGTGCCGTACTATGCAAGTGACATGTGTGTCTTGTTTCAAGTTGTTTGTTAATTTTGTTAGTCTCCTTGTCGGCCTTTTGCTCTTTTTTTTTTTCCTTTTTCATCTTGTTTGATATGCCTTCCGAACGTGCGTTGTTTTCTCCTCCTTTTTTCGATGTATTCGTGTCCTCTTTTTTTTTTTTCCCCAATTAAACTGATCGAAACAGATACTACACTTGATCTTAGCCAAAAGGCCAAGAACGATATATTTGTGTCCTTTGTCATTGGTTTTCTCAGGTTCTCTCATTCGTTTTTTTGTTTTTTGTTTTTTTTGGTTGATTTTGACTGCCTGTAATTTACTTGCTTATTTCCTTACTTCTTTCTTCACACACATGTTTCACCTCCTCACTTAGTTGAATCTTGTGAACTTCCTTTGAAGTTGTTTCCCTTTTCTTTTTATTCAGGTGGTAACAGTCTTGAATCTTGAGATATCTTCATTGAACCGACCGGCCCCAGTTAGTTGCGATTCTTGAGATTTATTTTGTTCATCTGAGTACTTCAGGATTCGAAGTTCGAACTTAGGTCTGTTTATCAACAGTTCATACTACTTCATAGCTTTGTTGCCTCATTTGCATACAGGTCACAGAACCCCCACTTTTTCCTTCTGCGTTTCTCTTCGCTCTCACAGTGACTTGTATGATCCATCCATCCAAGTCCTTGCTCGCTACTACTGAGCCATCATTTCCAAGTTTTCAAGCTTCACCGAAATGTAGTTGGACCACGGAAAACACAGCTAACAGAAGGCGGTAATAGCTTCTACGTGCTATACAGTAAGCTGTTTCCACTGCAGGTCCTTCCACCCGCCCCCTCCTCGCCCTCATTGTTGAGGTCCCTCCCCCCCTCTTTTCCCCTCCTCACACTCCTTCCAGCCCTCTCCTCCAACCTACCCACCTACTTCCCCCCACTCCACACTGCCCTGCTCACCCCACCAGTTCATGATTGGTCGGATTCAGCTTCAGTCCAAGGATCGAAATGATGCCCACCTGCAGCCCATCGCCCTCCCGCAGTGCTGCCTCCAGAAGATGGCACATACGCAAGGGCGTAATCATTTGCTTGGAAGTGCTCATATCCACGGATGTCCAATGCATCGGAGGTCAATTCCTCATTCTTCCACGTCAGAATGCGAATTTCCGGTCTCTGAGCTGCCTGCCATCACACACCATTGTCGCCAAGGAAACCAAATGATGTATCACAAAGCTTGCAAAACTTCTCATTGCTGCACTTTTGAAGATCAGCTAGAGACAGGAACCTAATACCTTACTTTCTCCAGCTTTGGTACTTCCATAATATGTCTGCACTGAAAGAGGTCTCAGAATCCATGCAAAAGAAAGTCTGAAGAAGGCAATGAAACAGAGTAAGGTGAGGCAAACGAGGGAGGGAGGGGAAGACGGGGGCAAGGGCGAGAGCGACAGCGAGCAACAGCAGAGGTAGAGAGTGGGAAAACTGGAACCAAGATCAAGATCAAAGATTCAAAGGAGAGAGGGGGGAGGGTGGAAAGAGGTGTGGGAGAAAGACGAACAGAGAGGTGGACACAGAGAGGCATGAGGGAGGCAGACCATGGAAGAGAGAGACAGGGTGGGGTTGAAAGAGTGAAAGAGAGATCAGGAGAGCCAGGTGGGACGGAGAGAGCTGAGGGAAGGTGAGAGGCATGTGTGAGAGAGGGAGAACGAGAGATAAGTGGGACAGAAACAAAGGAGGGATGGAAGAGAGCAAGAAAGAACACAGTGATAGAAAGGCAGATCACGCACGAATGTGGGAGCTGAGCGAGTGGCATGAGAGAGAGGGTAAGAGGTAGAGAAAGGAAGAGAAAGTCGGGGAGGGAGGGGGAGAGAGAGCAGGAGTGAGGCAGGGGGAGCAAGAGAAAGGGTGACAGAGAAAGAAGAGGGGGGAGGGAGTGATAGCAAAAAGGGGAG